CACTTTTCTACAGATAATAACAGCCTTAGCAGACTCTCTCAGCCATGTCCGAGGACCCGAGCTCCCAACCCTGGTCCATCAACAAAGATGATTACGAGCTCCTGGAGGTGATCGGTATGTGATTATTAGCTTGTTAGCATTGTTGTTAACCGGTAGTTTGTAAACGGCTCGCTATAAGCTCAACCAAAGCGGAACTTAAAGCGCGGAACTCTGTCTGGAAGACGAAAATACGAGCAAAAGGCTCTCCTTTTTCTCCAGCTAGGTTTATCTGAAGACGTTGGAAGAGTCTGACAGCCGATCTATGTTTTGACTTGGACACCGAGTCATTTACGAGGCAGTAAATGGCCATTAACGCTGAGAACGTGCTGTCAGGATCAGACTATTTGCTGGAAAATAACCGCCTCGTCTAAATGCCAGTTTATGCGCCCTTAGTTAAAACAATTAGATCAACCCGAAAGAAGAACAAATCTGAACGACAGCAGCTGTTACAAGGAGCACAACGTTTCATTAAGAAGCCTTCAGTATCAGCCGTGTCATTGTGCTGTATGTATGATAAGAGAGATACTTCAACTATGTTCACGCCCATCCCGCTCAGAGGCGCAGCCAGAACATTTTATAAGGGTGCCCAGGCAATAGCCAATGTACACTGAGGGGGGGCCTTTGCTAACAAATAGAGGCATATATTTAAACATCTATGCTGTCTTCATTAAAGGTGTAGTGGACAAAATTCTTTCAGTTTTGAGTTCTGGGGCGAACATCTTATTCATTGTCATTATTTACCTACTTTTATTAATAATCATTCTGCATAAAATTAATATTTACTTGTTCTAATATCCAAATTAAATGGATTGCTTGTTATTAAAGTAGTTATCTCTGATTTCAGGGAAGAGTCCTAGATGACTTGCAGAGACATAATTTTCTCTTTACCTAATATAAGACAGTATCTAGTTCTGAAAAGAGCATGAATTCTGTATTTATCATGTTTACTGTTAGTATATTGATGTGCAACATAAACCACAGTGTTTTTGTTGTCAGGTTATTGTTTACATATAGAAAATGAAAAAGTGAAATGAGTTAAAACATTCAACTTGAGAGTATTACTGCTGCCGCCGTCTGTATTACAACGAAAAAGGGTAGGGGTGGCCAATGATTGGGTTAGGGTGGCCGTGGCCACCTCTGGCCCCCCATCTAGCTCCGCCCCTGATCCCACTACAGGAAGTAGAAAAAACCAAACAAACAACAGACTCAAATCTTCTTAATTTTGCACTGGCTGTACTTTAATATATTTTACATTTACAACAAATTTATTCAAATGTATAAATTGTAATCATTAACCATATGTGAACAACACCAAGTTTAATTTGTCTACATTTGTGCAGCATAGGCGTCAAAACTTCTAAGCAACATCAAGTTAAAGTGGTTGAAATGTCAGTAATGACTAAAAACAACAAAGACAGGTTTTTCCTTAACAGTTTAAAGATTAGAAAGTTTTACCATGAATAAATTAAAATGATAAAATACATGTATACAAGAACCAGCTAAAGAAAGGATCACAAGCTTCTGCTGTGATTTTGGGCTGAAACATTTTAAAACCCCTGCAGTTTACTCTAGGAATTCAACAGTCACTGTTCTGTTGTCTGGTTTTTATTTTACTTTGAGTGTGTTTTAAGATATTTTGTTCATTATTTTATTTATTATTTTTGTTTTTAGGATCTAAAATAACCTGAAATGTTTAATTCATACAAGAAGCAGTAATGATGTAACACTGTGTTTGTGACGTAGTCACTGTTCAAGTTTTTAACTAATTTAAAGCCTAAAAAACAAAACAAACAAAATAATTACCCCTATTCGGTTAATTTGATTAATTTTGGACTGATTATGAATTAATACCAGTCCTAGTTCATCTCAGCTGCAAGGTTTCCTAAATCTTGAAGACATGATTGAATCTACTGGCTTCATTACAGACAGCTTAAGAGAATAAAATGGAGTAACTTTACTGCACTATCTTTCCTGACATCTTTTGTCATTTCAGTGAAATACCCAAAGGCGTAGTACGATCAGACAAGTGACTGATGCTACCTCATATTTCATATAAATGATTAGATATTTCCTATTTTTATGTTTCCTTGCTCCAGCTGTGCTTTCTCTGATGGTTTTGCATCTGGGATACATTGCTTAAGTGGTAAAACTAATGCTAGCAAGCTTCCAGCCTGTTTAAATTAGATTTTAATTTCTCGTTATAACTGATTCAGACTGGCTAAATGTTTTAACCCATCCCTGTTTCTGCTGACTGACAACTAAACTTACCCTGCAGATGTGCATGCTTTGCACAATAGTAGATTTTATGAGCAGCTTGTAAGGAAGATTTTGGCAGCTCTAAACTTTAGTGCATTAGTAGTATATCGATTGATTGCTGACGCTGTCCCCTAAAAGCTGCGTGTATTTCGAACTAACTGTGGTACCTCCATGCAGTTGTCTTTATGGAGGCCCAACTTTGAGCAGATTGGTGTTATAGTTCAGGTGACTTTCTGCCTGAATAAGCCAGTTATATCAGCACATTTGCTTTTTTAATGGCTGATCGGTATTATGAACGAAAGAATGAATAGAACTTTATTGATCTCATAATGCAGAAATTCCCCTGTGACATGTATTTTATTTGGTTTTTAACCAAACTGAAAGAAATTATTTAATAGTTCTTTCAATCATGATCAAGGCTTGATCTTAAATTGAGGTAGACTCCATAAAGGTGTTTGATTTTAAATTCTTGTGACAGGAACTTTAATTTTTATTTATTTTAAGGCTGCTACCAATGACTATTTTGCTAATCAGTTAATCTATTGATTTTTTTTTCCTGATTAATCGATTAACAATCAAATGGTGAAAGGTTCCTAAATGGTATAGTGGAGGATGTTCTTTTTCCGGGTGGATCATCAAAATAAGTGGTCCTCCTAATTGTCAATCATTCTGGTGATATGTTTACGTAAGGCCGTCCTACGTGCTCGTCCCCTTTTTCACTTAGCAGTGGTGAGTCTGACATAGTGGAAAAATTGCAAATGATCTTTTGGAAAGTAAGCTTTTATGATGACTTTTAAACAGAGCGTGCATGAGGAGAAATGGGCTCATGCATGCTCTTACACACGTTCAATGGGCGTTCCCTCTTGGGAGGGGGGACATGGTTGTGCATGTGTATATATATATTTTTTTTAAGTTGAAAGGGTGATCTTTTAAAAAATTTGCGAAAAATCCTCCACTTACCTTTTAAATGTAATTTTACACAGAATTTAACCAAAGTGAGGCTTAAACTGTGACCTTTGAGGACTTCTCTATAGAGCATATTAATGGACTAAAAAGGTTCCTTATTTTGAATACAAAATGTTTGGATATTTTTGACTGTTTAGGTATGATAACTGCTTTGAGTTTGCGAATAATAGGACTAAATAAGTTGGCGATTATTTCAATAATAATCGGATTAATTCATTTATTGTTTATCTTTTTACCTTGCTCAACAAAAAGCAGGTTCTTTAGACGATGAGGAGGATCAAACTGTTCAAACAGGCAACGTTTTTCCCACTTCCATGATATAATTTCTGCCCTTTCATGCTGTTTGTTCAACTAGGGTTTGCTTCATATGCAGATGATGCTCTTCTATTCCTGAACATTTCTTTGAAACGTTGAAATACTTGTAATTTTTCCTCATAGTTTCTTAGAAAATTTTGAGCCCCTCAAGATAACGCCCTGCACTTTTATCTTGAACTCCTAGATAAAGCCTCTGTTGTAATGAAACCAGTTCAGTGGCATTTTCCTGTGCTATGTAAAGCACAACTTGTCCTCATCAGTTTGAAGCTGCTCAGGCTGTTGGACTTGTAGTTTGCTTTCTTTGAAAAAACACTTTGGGCAAGGGATCATTATTAGACAGAGCTTCAGAAATGAATCAAGGAGTTAGGTAATATTTTTATTTTAATTTTTCTTGCATGTAAAATACATAGGCAATACATTTTCAAATACTGCAAAAAACGAGCAGTGAGAATATAACCAGATAACTCTATAGAGAGGCAACAAATCCACTTATTCTTCAGTTAAAATTGGTCAGCTTTAATTGATTAGTAGACTCTATTATTTTGCAAATTTTAAAGCACATAAAAACACATCACCAATAAACATAGAAAATGTTTAGAAAAAAAGAAAGCAATTATAATTGAAAAGAAATAGATCTTTAAAAAAATATATTTAGAGCAAAAGTAATGGAGCGTGGAAAGCAATCAGCTTATAGAATAAAGAAATCAATGAATCACAATCTGTGTTTATGTTTAAAAGGTTAATAAAAGTGAATATGCTGAGTTGATATGTCAGTTATACCTGATTGTAAATAATGTCAATTTTTTTGTTTTAGGAGTACAAAGGAAATAGACCTAAATTAAAAGGATAAATATTTCATTTTATCATCTTATGTTTTTGTTATGTATATTCTTATGCTCTCTTTTCTTTGTAAATGTATTGCTTTAGGTAAAGAGGGTATAGATAACCTAAGATTAATTTTCTTTCTGCTTCTTTTTATTCAGGATTTTAGAATAGTTGGTTTTATGATTGTTTTGTTTGAATACAATGAATAAAAAACATAATTTAGTTAGAATTTCTATTTCTCGGTTTAGTTCTCATTTCATCAAAAATAGGCTCAACCCAGTTTAAACCATTAGCCCAGGGTTCCTGTGAGTGCATTAAACAACTAAACTGCTGATGAGTGACGGATTCATTTATCTGCAATATTTCACCTTCCTTGAACTTTGGATTAAAAAAAAAGATTGTGTCTATTAAGCCTCAGTTTTCAACATTATTAGAGCTTCTGTTTAGTTATTTAGAAGGTCCTGTCATTAAGATATCTGTGTAAAATGAATTCTGTCATTCAACTGTGTATCATAGGTTTACGCTCTGCCTTCAGCCCATTGATTACTTAATCATAGTGTTTAAAAAAAAAAAAAAAAAGAGTAAAACTATAAACCTGATGATGGCTAATCTGATATCAAATTATGTGCTTTAACCAGAGTTGGTTTTAGGCAACGCTTCATGTCTATTGATTAAAAAAATATATATGAATAAATCATGGAAAGGTAATTGAT